AATTCTTGTTAAGTACATTCTCAGTAAGGACCAGCTGACGTTAATGTGGGTAGAATTCTTGTTAAGTACATTCTCAGTAAGGACCAGCTGACCTTAATGTGGTGTAGAATTCTTGTTAAGTACATTCTCAGTAAGAACCAACTGATGTTAATGTGGTGTAGAATTCTTGTTAAGTACATTCTCAGTAAGGACCAGCTGGCATTAATGTGGTGTAGAATTATTGTTAAGTACATTCTCAGTAAGGACCAGCTGACGTTAATGTGGTGTAGAATTATTGTTAAGTATATTCTCAGTAAGGACCAGCTGACGTTAATGTGGTGTAGAATTCTTGTTAAGTACATTCTCAGTAAGGACGTTGACAATCTACAAGAAGAGAAGAGTAATTAAAATACTGTTCATTGTATAAAATGGATGATATTTAAATTCACTCCATTTGCTGTTACTGTATTAAAAGTTGGGAGGTTTGTCGTAAGCCTGTTAAAATGTTTAAGAATGCAAAATATAAGTAACACATTTTATAATCTTCTCAATTTGAATTATAGCAAAAAATAAACATGTTGACCGTTAATTATGAAATAAACAGAATCTAGTTTTCTATTGAAGTTTAATGTAGTTCATGAGAAAGAAGTTGTCAGTAAAAAGCACAAATTAATTTTGTTTTATTGGATAGGGATGGTTGTTCTATGCTGCGAAACGTGCACAGAGTTTTTATCTTGCATCATTACCAAATTGTAAACGTAAGGAATGTATCCATAAACAACAACTTGTTGCATGATCATATCAATGAAACACAATATATATATATTAAAATTTACAAATTTATAAAAAAGCAAGTTTGGAAAGGTTACCAAATCCTCTTTATAAGAAATCATTAGTAATGACGGATGTGCTGAGCATTGCTGTTATGCATAGTTTAAGTCCACTGTTACACACCAGCTTCGTTTGTAAATTATTGTCTTTACTTCAACAGTGAAAGTCACTAGCCTGACTATTAAAGATGCAAATGTTCTGTCACTAAAAAGTCTTGTGTGTAAGTACATATATAGGACAATTATCAGTATTGTGTATGTGTTATTTCTGGGTCAAAACTTTTATATTTGTCCATCTAGGAATGGGTGATAACTGAATAAAAAGAGAAATGAGATTGTTGGTAAATCAGTAATCTCTGTTCAGTGTTTGCAAATACAGTCATGTTACTAAAGCTCTTTTCCTTATTGTGGTCGGTTATTTTTTTTTAATAATAGATTCATACCAAACAGAAAATAGTTTCCATGCTGCTTATTTATGTGCTCTTCATAATATCACACATCTGTGCATTTAATGATTCTTGTAGAATATTGTTAGTTTTATGTAATACGATATTGTAACTATGCTGTCCTTCTATCTGACTATAGTTAAATAGTAACGTGTCATATCAAAAGTATTCAAGTAATAGAGAATCTATAATAATACAAGTCATTATTTGTGTTTTGTAAGATTCATCCTGTTCTTTATTTAATGCTAATTTCACTAACAGTATTGGTTAGAATGTCTAATATATTTATCTTGTTATTTTTAATTTTGGTCTTTTTTTTTTCTATCAGGATTATGTTGCATTGTTAGCTTGATATATGGACTTGTGTCAAATTTTAATCTCTTAAGCTCATTGAACCTTTTTAGGTATTATTAGGGTTATGACCAAAAATGGCACTAATTGCAAGGTTACCCAACTGATGAAGTAATGCATTCTAATCATCATAAATAAGAATGATGTGTTAAATTAGCTATTTTAATTACTAAGATAATTTTTAGTTTTGATCTATATAGGTAGCTTGCTTTGATATCACAAGTTAATAATAAATACAGTTCGTTGTCAGAATATATTTTATTTACAAATGAGCTTAACTGGTTAGAGAAAATATATTTTTTGTGGAATTTTGATTATGGTAAGGCTTTACCAAGTGCTCTTGATTAAACTGTTGAATTTTACAGTGAGTACATGCATATTAGAAATACAAAATACATCTTTTTCTCTCCCTCTTTCTCTATTTATTACCACTTTCTTCATACTAGTTTAAATTTCATCACATATGAGTAAAACTGTATGTAAAACACCAGTTAATGACAGTTTATATGGTTTACCTTTAGTACTTGGTGTATGACACACAGCTGATGATAGGTGGCAGTCACAGGTACTCTATTTCTCCAGAAGAATACATCTTTGCAGCTCTGAACCTTTACCTTGACATCATCAACTTGTTCCTTTTCATTCTTCAGATCATCAGCTCTGCTAAAGACTAAGGATTACTGTCTACCAAGAAGCTGGTCTGTTACTAATGGCAAACATAAAAAATTAAAAAGCTTGGTTGACAAGAAAAACATTTCAAAACTGTAACTGGAGGTTCAAAATATGATGTTTTTAGACTGTTAACAATAGTAATAAAAATTTTAGGTTTTGAATATTTGATAAATGAAAAATATACTGAATGCATTTTAAAATTACCCAATAATGTACTTTGACTACGGCAGACACATATAATACTATTTATGGTAAATACAGTGTTTTACAAAAACTTCTGGCATACTTATGGTTGGTTACTTATCAGAACACATTTTGTGTAAATGCTACAATGATAACCTTACATGCTTTTTTTTCTCCCCCAGATTAAACTATAAATTCTTCTCTTTTTTTTAATATTACCATGGAATAAATTAATCTTAAGATTTTTGTAGGTTTATATTGACATTTTTTCTTGTCAGTTAAACGTTTTTAAATAGAAGTAAAAGAATCTTGTGGATATTGCATCCTTATGATTATAAAGTTTGCCAAATGTTTGTAAAATACTTAATAATTAGCAGGAGTTCAATAACTACATAAACATTTCCAACCTGATATTTCTGCATTATGATTTAATTCCAAAAATATATTTAGTTTTTACTAGATACTAACTCTCATTTTTACAATGGCTCTCTGGTCTTTAAGGATATAAGAATTAAAAGATTATAACTTAAGTTTGTTTGTTTTTTCCATAAATGTAAAAATAGTATGTTTTTCATAGTATTAAAAATGTATAAATACTAAGAATATTTAAAATTTAAGTAGTTGCAACTAAAAATATGTATAATTCCCCATTGTTATGAGCTATTGAAATTTTACTCTTATGCAAATTATGTAGTAATGCTACTATTAATATTATATTAGAAATAATATGATGTGGTGTGATGCTGAATTTTCTCTCTCCTTGACAATTTGTCTACAGGAAATTAGCCTAGCTAATTAATTACTGGAAATCTTTAATATGCTTGTGATACTTATTAGAAAACTTGTATGCAAAAATTCAAGATGTCTGACTTGTCCAGCTTCAATGGAAGAACAATTTATTTATTTATTAAAAACATACAGCATATTGTTATGGTTAAACTAGTAAGACTTATGCTTTACAATTATACATATTTCATTTAAAATTTAAACTTTGAAAATACTAATAACTTACCTTGTAACTGTAAAAATTATTCTTCGATGAAACCTCATCATAATCATGTTGTTAGAAGTAACTTAAATCTAGTTGGAGATGAACATTTAATTAAGATTTTGCAAAAATGTTCTAAATATAGGACTTCAAGGAAAATTATAAAAATACATTTATTAAATTAAATAATTAACAACTTTGATGATTTTATTATTAAAATTAATAAAGAAAAGGAATTTTCCCTCCATGTTATTTTTATGAATGGAAAATTTTACTATTAAAGCTTTAGAAAATAAGATTAAAGTCAATTGATTTGTAAAATTATAATTTTGATTTCTTTTCTATTATCTTCAAAAGAAAAGTAATTCAAGATGCTTTAATAATCATGTTTTGATGAACCAGGTAGAAATTTTCAGTTTTATGCTTAGGTATTATTTTATATAAAATTAGATATGATGAATGAATAATTTAAGGAAGACTTGTAAAAATTGGGGATCTTTAGTGGACTTAGCTTTTTTAATTTTGTTTTTAACATTATGCCTAAATTGCATAAAAAGACAATAAAAAATAAATTTAGATTTATTATAAGTACTATTCTTATACCTGTTGTTATAACTTTAAATGAAATCTCAGTATAATGTTTAAAAAGTAAAATTATTTACCAACATTTTTTTTACTTGTGATTTAAAATCTTGACACAACAATAGCTCTAACTGATTTATTGAGAGGTTCTACCTTTTTTTTAAATCAGTTTTAGATGATATTAATATTATTTCTAATTTTCATTTTCCAAAGAACAGTTCAAAAATTATCCAGTTTTCAATTTTTAATAATTCTATTATAATGAATAAATATATTTATAAACAGAAATGGATTACCAGGGGGAGCTAGATTTTCTACTAATTTAGCTAATTTGTTATTTTTACCTATAAAAATTCACTTTAAAAAGAAAGTTACTAATGCTCAAATTTTCAGCTGTATTTTGCATTATATTGATTTAATTTCACAGTTTATTATTATCAAGTACAGTATCTAGATTTGGATATAAGTATTTAGGAAAGATCCAAATTTCTATTTTTAACAGAAGATAAGATTTTAATTTCAAAGTTTTTGGTTTACAGCTAGAAGTAGTCTTGTGTCTTATTGTTGGTTTAAAGGTGTAATTCTCTCCCAGTTAAAAAGATATGCTTAAATATGTAATAATGATTCATTGTTCGAACTTTTGGTTGATAATCTAAATTACAGTATATTTCAATATTAGGAACTATTAAAATAATAAAAATAATTTAATAGATAAAAAAAAAAAGGAAAATGTATTGTAAAAGAAACTTTTTCCAAAAGATGGTTAATTCTAAGTCACAGAAACACCAAAATTCTGATATAGATAAAAACACTTTTATTTGGCTATACAGTGCAAGTTATTGGACCTGGAAAGGTCAACTTCATGTAAAGTAGCTTAATTTCCATCTTGTATTTTAATTTTTATAGAAATAATAATTTATCAGCCTGTTACTGTTTGTTTATTTTTTATGGGTAGAGGAAGGATTGTTAAATATGAACCTGTATTAGAGAGAGAAAAAAAGGAGTTTTTGTCTTCTTATTTTTATTTTGTTTCCTGATTTACCATTTTACCTTTCCAACAACTGATCTGAACACTGGCAGGTAGTTGAATATGAAACATCGTGGATTTATGAACCTGTACTCCTTCCCCTTTCTTAATTTTAAATTTTATTGTTTTTCTGGATTAATATTAATTTTCATTGTTCTTCTGTATTACCTGACTGGTTTTTCACTGAAACATTTTGGAAGATTTCTGAAGAGGTGTCATATCCCCATTGTATTTTGGGTGCTTATGACTGTTGGCATCTTCCTCTAAGGCTGTATCATTTACAGTTTTCCATGTGATACAACTTTAATGTTTTATGATGTTTACATTGGGCACAATTTTGATATACTAATAATAAAAATAATAAATTTTGTAATTGTTCTTTTAACTCCTTACATCTGAATTATATATGTAGCCTTTAATGAATTTATTAGAACCACCATATTATGATTTTTCCTCATTTTTCTACCACTAGTTAAATTGAGGGGCTTCTTAAAGTCCTCAATTTATTTCTTTTTCTTTGTGTGTGTTTGATTTCAATCCATATTCAAATTGAAGAGAATACTTCTTAACCTTGATTGAATCTTGTAGCTAATTAATTTTCAAACTTCTCTGGTTTTATGAAAATTTTAACCTTAAGCTCAGAAAAATAAGAGAATGAAAAAGTAAGTTTATGAAGTTTATAAAAAGACATCTTCCATTCACTATATAAGTACGGATGTATGAGGTGACAGTAGTGGCCTCGTACTAGGCCAGTGTAGTAAGTCACATGTAGTTTAATGAGACCTATATTTGTGATTTTCAGAGTTTAACGTTTATATGTTGTGAAGTATTTATTAATATCGAAAAAATAAAAGTTGACTTTTTTGCATCTGTAGTATAAGTAAGAAATATAAATTGAACTTATACGTCTTAGAAGTGTAAATTAAAACTTTTTAACTCGTATAAATGCTTTCACACTGAAACAGACAACTGTAGTAATATTCATTAGGGTAGTCAGGTTGTGTTCATAGAGAAATAACTTATGTAAGGATTTAGCGTAATGTTACAAAACTGGTTTTCTAATATTATGATTATTTCCATAGCTTTGGTGCTTATGTATTGTAAGTAATTAGAAACTTAAGATTGGTATTGTTGTATATTTTACTCAAATAATTTAGTGCCATCTTTTTCACTATAAATGATTTATGATTAGAAATAGATGGAGTATAATGATTGAATTATTTAAATTACAAAATATTAGGCCTAGAACACAAATTTTAAGTATAGTGAATCCAGCTCTCGTGAAGCTTTTACAGGGTTTGCTTCCATGTCTTGACATTTATTATAGGCTAGTCTCCAGTTTCGGTTTTTGAAATTTTGTATAAGTTGCTCATTTTCTAATGAATATACATACTGTACATTTTAACAAAACATCAATACAACCTGTTTGGTAAGAGTATTATGTTTTTGTGAATATCTAGTCATAAAAGAATTTGTATTTGGTAATAGATGGAAAACGATAAGGCAAAACTTTTCGTATGGAAATTTAGAGATTGTGTTATTTTTGCTACATTTATTTAGAAAAATACAGTCATCTTTAAGTGTAACACTAAGGTAACTATAAATATAGTTTAGAAATTCTGAAAATAATGTTAAACATAAGCTAAAAGTTTTTGTTTTTTTATCAATGGTATATCAATGAAAATGCCTTGTTTAAGGTTTACCTGTTAGTTAACTTCACAACAAAGAGTTTAGAGATATGATTATTACACCATTTTACTTAGTTCTTTGGCTATTAGTATGAATTTGTAATAGGACGTGTTAAGAACTAGAAAACATATTTCCTTGTAACACTATTAACACACGCATTGTAACTTTATAGTCGAGTTGTTCACATGTCTATATAGGAACTTTCTTCACATACATAGAAATTGAATAGTGTAACACTAATGTTTGTGAGTTTAGTCCCCTTCTGCTTGTAGATGGGTATAACATTTTTAAGGATAAACCACGTAATGAGGGAAGCAGTTGCAAAAGTAAAAACCTTACTTGTGTTTAACTTGTATATTATGAAGTGGGTTTTGGTGTCTGTAAAATAAAATCTGGTTTTCAAGGCATTATCTGTTTACATGCTAATTAAACGTGGTTATAACCACCAGTAGTGTCATGTGCACTAAGTTAGTAAATTTCAGTTCCACTTTTAATCAAGATTCTTTAAATCATGGAGTGTATAACATTAGAATAATCTGAATAGTTTATTATAGTAGAATGCTATGTATCGAACAAAGTGTGTGAAATTATGATAAGGAATTTCTCAGTTTGCACTTCATGTGACTCCGGGTTCGAATCCCTCACACACCAAACATGCTCGCCCTTTCAGCCGTGGGAGCGTTATAATGTGACGGTCAATCCCACTATTCGTTGGTAAAAGAGTAGCCCAAGAGTTGACGGTGGGTGGTGATGACTTGCTGCCTTCCATCTAGTCTTACACTGCTAAATTAGGGACGGCTAGCCCTCGTGTAGCTTTGCGCGAAATCCATAACAAACAAATCATGAGACTCTTTTAAGTAAATGATTAAAAGCATTGGTATTTAAGTATTGAAACATTAGGAGGACAAAGTTTTTGAGTCAGTGTAGGAACTCCCATTTCGTTGAATCATAAAGGAATCAGAGTAGAATATCTGAAGCTATTAAAAAACTATCGGGGAACTGATGAGATAGATACCAAGAAACTAATTATCAATTTAACTTTTTTCGTTATTGACATAAATACTATAAACATTGACCCAATAATTTATATATATATATACACACACGCACACACACTGCTGAAAATACAATGAACATTGATTC